TATAGTAATATTGCAACCATACTAGAGACAGGTTTGTCATTCTTTTTCTTATTCTGACTCACTTTATTCTCATCGCTATGGATATATGAAAACAGTGGCAGCTATAGCTAAGTCATTATGGAAGGTAGTATCAGAATAAATCAATTCTTTAGGATAATAGGCTTATAGACAGAACCTCTGTAATCTCCTCTTCCTCAAAATAGATTTCTTTCAGTGGGTGATTTTTCTCATGGAGTCTGTCTCAATTAATTTGACATATTCAATTCTCTCTATATGAATACAAAAATTGTCTGATTTTCCTACTTCTTTAAGGTAGTGTAGCTATCATAAATATGTGATTTTCTGGGAAAAATGTCAGGGATTCAAATGAGAAACTTGATTATTCCTTAATAAGATAAATAAGAGACTGGGATAATTATGAACTATGCATCAAGAAATTGGATAATTTGAAAGTATGTTTCAGACTACAAGTAATTTTCTGCACAGAGAAATTATCTCCCCTTTCTCAGCTACAAAATGGATACCTCAAAAATATGAAGCATAATCAATATTTTTATCATTACATTTCGTATTTTGCTTTTTACCTGGGTGTCTTCTCCATAGCTTCTCAAGTTTAACAGATGCTAATATCTAAAAACACTGAATTGCTGTTGTTTTTTTAAATGTAAAAAGCATCTTTAAAATATAGTTTATGAAGGAAATTCAGTGTTTTATGTTTCAAACTGTTGATTGATTTTTGGCAAAGGGCTGTGTAATACTCCTGGCTTGTTTGTTCTATCGAATACAGTGCTGGCATAAAGTGACTCAAATAGAATTGTGTCCAAAAGAGTAAATAAATATTTGCCATCAATTTCCTAAACATATATACACATTTGGTTAGGTATGAAGTTGGTATTAAGAATACTTTGTTTGATAGGTATAGATGAGAATGAAGATTCCCAACTTAAAGGGCCAGTAAATATCTTCAACAAAATTATTGAGGAAAACTTCCCTAACCTAAAGAACAAGATGCCCATAAACATACAAGAAGCCTACAGAACACCAAATAGACTAGACCAGAAAAGAAATACCTCCCGTCACATAATAATCAAAACATCAGATGCACAAAACAAAGAAAAAATACTAAAAGCAGTAAGGGAAAAAGGTCAAGTAACATATAAAGGCAGACCTATAAGAATTACACCAGACTTCTCACCAGAGACTATAAAAGCCAGAAGAGCCTGGACGGACATCATACAGACACTAAGAGAACACAATTGCCAGCCCAGATTACTATACCCAGCAAAACTCTCAATCACTATAGATGGTGAAACCAAGATATTCCATGACAAAACCAAATTTGCACAATATCTTCCCACAAACCCAGCACTTCAAAGGATAATTGATGGAAAATGCCAACACAAGGAGGGAAACTACAACCTAGGAAAAGCAAGTAAGTAATCTTCCAACAACCCCCAAAAAAGATACAAACATAACTTTACCTCTAATAAAAAAAATAACAGGAAGCAACAATCATTTTTCCTTAATATCTCTTAACATCAATGGTCTCAATTCCCCAATAAAAAGACGCAGACTATCAGACTGGATACACAAACAAGACCCAGAATTTTGCTGCATACAAGAAACGCACCTCAGTGACAAAGACAGACACTACCTCAGAATAAAAGGGTGGAAAACAATTTTTCAAGCCAATGGTCCCAAGAAACAAGCTGGAGTAGCCATTCTAATATCAAATAAAATCGACTTTCATCCAAAATTAATCAAAAAAGATAAGGAAGGACACTTCATACTCATCAAAGGAAAAATCTACCAAGGTGAACTCTCAATTCTGAACATCTATGCTCCAAATGCAAGGGCACCTACATACATAAAAGAAACTTTACTAAAGCTCAAAACACACATTACACCTCACACAATAATAGTGGGGGATTTCAACACCCCACTGTCAGCAATGGACAGATCATGGAAACAGAAACTAAACAGAGACACTTTGAAATTAACAGAAGTTATGAACCAAATGGACTTAACAGACATCTATAGAACATTTCATCCTAAAACAAAAGAATATACCTTTTTCTCAGCACCTCATGGTACCTTCTCCAAAATAGACCATATAATTGGTCACAAAACAAGCCTCTACAGATACAAAAAGATTGAAATAATCCCTTGCATCTTATCAGATCACCACGGACTAAGGCTGGTCTTTAATAATGACAAAAACAATGGAAAACCCACGTACACATGGAAACTGAACAACTCTCTACTCAATGATGACTTGGTCAAGGAAGAAATAAAGAAAGAAATAAAAGACTTTTTAGAATTCAATGAAAATGAGGACACATCATACCAAAACTTGTGGGACTCCATGAAGGCAGTGCTAAGAGGAAAGCTCATAGCTCTAAGTGCCTACAAAAAGAAACTGGAAAGAGCACACACTAACAAGTTGACTGCACAACTAAAAGCTCTAGAACAAAAAGAAGCAAATACACCCAGGAGGAGTAGAAGGCAGGAAATAATCAAACTCAGGGCTGAAATCAACCAAGTAGAAACAGAAAGAACAATACAAAATATCAATAAAACCAGGAGTTGGTTCTTTGAGAAAATCAACAAGATAGATAAACCCTTAGCCAGATTAACCAGAGGGCACAGAGACAGTATCCAAATTAATAAAATCAGAACTGAAAAGGGAGACATAACAACAGAAACTGAAGAAATTCAAAAAATCATCAGATCCTACTACAAAGGCCTATACTCAACAAAACTGGAAAACCTGGATGAAATGGACAATTTCCTAGACAGATACCAGGTACCGAAGTTAAACCAGGAGCAGATAAACCATCTAAATAGTCCCATAACCCCTCAGGAAATAGCAGCAGTCATCAAAAGCCTCCCCACTAAAAAAAGCCCAGGACCAGATGGTTTTAGTGCTGAATTCTATCAGACCTTCAAGGAAGACCTAATACCAATTCTCTTCAAACTATTCCACAAAATAGAGACAGAAGGAACACTACCCAATTCGTTCTATGAAGCTACAATTACACTCATACCCAAACCCCACAAGGACCCGACAAAGAAAGAGAACTTCAGACCAATCTCCCTTATGAACATCGATGCAAAAATACTCAATAAAATTCTAGCAAACCGAATCCAAGACCACATCAAAACAATCATCCATCATGATCAAGTAGGTTTTATCCCAGGAATGCAGGGATGGTTCAATATTCGGAAATCCATCAATGTAATCCACTATATAAACAAACTTAAAGAAAAAAACCACATGATCATCTCACTAGATGCTGAGAAAGCATTTGACAAAATTCAACATCCCTTCATGATAAAAGTCTTGGAAAGATCAGGAATTCAAGGCCCCTACCTAAACATAGTAAAAGCAATTTACAGCAAACCAGTAGCCAACATCAAGCTAAATGGAGAGAAACTTGAAGCAATCCCACTAAGATCAGGGACTAGACAAGGTTGCCCACTCTCCCCCTACCTATTCAATATAGTACTGGAAGTCTTAGCCAGAGCAATTAGACAGCAAAAAGAAGTCAAAGGGATACAAATAGGAAAGGAAGAAGTCAAAATATCGCTATTTGCAGATGATATGATAGTATACTTAAGTGACCCCCAAACTTCCACCAGAGAACTCCTAAACCTGATAAACAACTTCAGCAAAGTGGCTGGTTATGAAATCAACTCAAACAAATCAGTAGCCTTCCTCTACATGAAAGATAAACAGACTGAAAAAGAAATTAGGGAAATGACACCCTTCACAATAGTTGCAAATAATATAAAATACCTTGGTGTGAATCTAACCAAGCAAGTGAAAGACCTGTATGACAAGAACTTCAAGTCTCTGAAGAAAGAAATTGAAGAAGATCTCAGAAGATGGAAAGATCTCCCATGCTCATGGATTGGCAGGATTAATATAATAAAAATGGCCATCTTGCCAAAAGCAATCTACAGATTCAATGCAATCCCCATTAAAATCCCAACTCAATTCTTCACAGAGTTAGAAAAGGAAATTCTCAAATTCATATGGAATAACAAAAAACCCAGGATAGCGAAAACTATTCTCAACAATAAAAGAACTTCTGGAGGAATTACCATCCCTGACCTCAAGCTGTACTACAGAGCAATAGTGATAAAAACTACCTGGTATTGGTACAGAGACAGGCAGGAAGATCAATGGAATAGAATTGAAGACCCAGAAATGAACCCACACTCCTATGGTCACTTGATCTTTGACAAAGGAGCTAAAACTGTCCAGTGGAAAAAGGACAGCATTTTCAACAAATGGTGCTGGTTCAACTGGAAGACAACATGTAGAAGAATGAAAATTGATCCATTCTTATCTCCTTGTACAAAGCTCAAGTCTATGTGGATAAAGGACCTCCACATAAAACCAGATACACTGAAACTAATAGAAGAGAAGGTGGGGAAAAGCCTCGAATACTTGGGCACAGGGGAAAAGTTCCTGAACAGAACTCCAATGGCATATGCTCTAAGATCGAGAATTGACAAATGGGACTTCATAAAATTGCAAAGTTTCTGTAAGGCAAAGGACACTGTCAATAGGACAAAACGACAACCAACAAATTGGGAAAAGATCTTTACCAATCCTTCATCTGATAGAGGGCTAATATCCAATATATACAAAGAACTCAAGAAATTAGACTCCAGACAACCAAATTACCCTATTAAAAAATGGGGTATAGAGCTTAACAAAGAATTTTCATCGGAAGAAACTCGAATGGCCGAGAAGCACCTAAAGAAATGCTCGGCATCCTTAGTCGTCAGGGAAATGCAAATCAAAACAACCCTGAGATTCCATCTCACACCAGTCAGAATGGCTAAGATTAAAAACTCAGGTGATAGTAGATGCTGGCGAGGGTGTGGAGAAAGAGGAACACTCCTCCATTGTTGGTGGGACTGCAAGATGGTGCAACCACTTTGGAAATCAGTCTGGCGGTTCCTCAGAAAATTGGACATAGCATTACCCGAGGATCCAGCTATACCACTCCTAGGCATATACCCAGAAGATGCTCGAACATATAACAAGGACATATGCTCAACTATGTTCATAGCAGCCTTATTTATAATAGCCAGGAGCTGGAAAGAACCCAGATGTCCTTCAACTGAGGAATGGATTCAAAAAATGTGGTATATTTACACAATGGAGTATTACTCAGCTATTAAAAACAATGAATTCGAGAGGTTCCTAGATAAATGGATGGAACTAGAAATTATCATCCTGAGTGAGGTAAGCCAATCACAAAAGAAGACACATGGTATTCACTCACTGATTATTGGATATTAGCCTAGAACCTTGAAATGCCCAAGATGCAACTCACAGGCCACATGAAGCCCATAAAGAAGGAAGACCAAGTGAGGGTGATTCGGTCCTTCTTAGAAGGAGCAACAAAATACTCAAGGGAGCAAATATGGAGACAAAGTGAGGGACAGAAACTGAAGGAGGGGCCGTCTCAAGACCACCCCACCTGAGTATCTATCCCATGTGCAATCACCAAAGGTAGATGCTGATGTGGAAGACAGGAAGTGCATGCTGATAAGAGCCTGATATGGATATCTCCTCAGAGGCCTTCAAGAGTCAGACGTATTCAGAGGCAGATGCTCACAACTAGCCATTGAACTGATCATGGGGTTCTCAATGGAGGAGTTAGAGTGAAGACTGAAGGAGCTGAAAGGGTTTGTGGCACCATGAGGAGAGCAACAATACCAACCAACCACAGCTCCCAGGGTCTAAACCACCAGCCTGGGAGCACTTAGGGGGGAATCCAGGGCTTCAGCTGAATATGTAAAAGTGGAGGGCCCTGCTGGGCATAGGTGGAAGAAGAGAACCTTGACCTCATGAAGGCTGGATGCCCCAGGGGGTGGGAATTTTGAGGGTGGGGAGGTGGGAGTGGGGGGGGGTGTAGATAGAGGTTACATCCACAGAGAAGAAGGAGGAGGGGCGAGGGGATTGGAGGTTCCGAGGGGGTGGTGGGGGATGGGGTAAGGGGACAACATAGGAAATGTAAATAAATCATCCAATAAAAAAAAAAAAAAAAAAAAAAAAAGAATACTTTGTTTGTTTGTTTTGTTAATGCTTTGAGGTTGTCTGACACTGTGCGTTTGAATGCAGTCTCCCTTGAATATTCCCAGTTTTCATCCACATATGCTGTACCTGAGTCCTTGACAAAGGACTTGGAGAAGAAAATCAGCATAAGTTCAGCTTGATGTGAGACAATGACCAAAACATCAAGGAAGATCGAATTCCAATTGGGACTTGTTTATTCAGTGATGAAATGACAAAACTGATACAACTACTTTTTAAAAAGGATTCTTATGCAAATATAAAAAGATTTAGAGCATTTGGTATGTGTGTGTGCATGTGTGTATGTGTGTGTGTGTGTGTAGTTATAAACACAAAAACACATGCATTCATGAATATGTTTGTCTAAACAAGGGTAAACACTGGCAACAGAAATAGATATGCAAACATGAAAGGAAGAAATCTCGTGGGTTCTATGCCAAATTAAATTACTGTAGACACCTTAAGGACAGCTGAGAGAAGAAAGTGCTAGTCCCTGTGATAAAGCCCATAACTGGTTATCTAATGCCAACTGGCCAGCCATGAATTTTGGACTTACAAGTAATGCTACATGAACTGAGTAAGTGGTATTTATATATTTCTATTAAGGTTTGTGAGACAAGGTCACTTTGAATGGCTGCAATCTCACCAAGGTGAATAGGCTTGTTATCTTACATTGAGATTATAAAATACTCTAGCATATTTAGCTGATTTTTAACATGGATTCTGTTGACCCAAGGCAAGAATTTTACCAAATGACCCAACTAAAGAAACTAATTTTAAATTTATTGAAATTAAAATATAGTTATCCAACTTTGCTGTTTTCCTTGTTTTCATCCTTTTTGCCTGACATATACTTCTGCTTCCTTCTGTCAAATTCATAACTTTTCATTTATTTTGTGTTCTCTCTCTCTCTCTCTCACTCTCTCTCTCTCTCTCTCTCTCTTTCTCTCTCTCCCTCCCTCTCTCTCTCCCTCTTTCCCTCCCCATGTGTGTGTGTGTACATATCCTATAAAAATAAAACCAATCTGTTCACTCATATATGATTTATGATGATCATTTAGTATTGGAGAACCAATTAGGAATGTCTTCCCTTAGAAAGATTATTTATTCTGCCTTCAGTCTTCTTGGTTACCTTTGTCTATGGATGAGGACCTATAAGATGTTCTTATTCTATTTTGCATGTTTATTGGTGTAATTTTTGCTCAGGCTATGTTTAGGTGGTCATGATACTGAGAATTCATGGTTGTAGTTTTTCTGACTTTCTAGAAGACAAAATTTTTTTTTAGCTCTTACATTTTTTCAGCACCATATATGGTGATAATCCTTAAGTCTTAGGTGTAGGATCTATATATTGGATAGATAAATTAAGATGAATTGGTAACCTGTCAATTCATTACTGTACCCCACCTGAAGTTATAATTACTGGTTAATTTTAAAGTGGCTTAAATTAATTACCTCCTAGTCATTACTGTTTCATATATATTATTTTACCTTGGAGTTTACTTTTAGTATAAGCCTTAAGAGTGCTCTAAGCACTTGGACTATTAAAATAAAGGTAAATGTGGGAAAACATATTGTCTCACATTCAAAGAAAAAAATTGATAAGGAAACTTTAGTGTAGTATAAAGCTTTATATTGACAAAAGTAATCAGAAATATGCACTTATTTGTCAAGTAACTGTGCAGTAAGTATGCCAGCTAATGTTTCAAAAAAACTTCAATATTTAATCCTTTAAATTTTTTCATTAACAAATGTATATACTAGACAATACACAACAGAGATTAATCTACTGCCTCTTGTGATGCAGTAAAGAGAAATCAGTACACTAGATCTTCCTTCTTTGAGCTTCACTGAAAATCATAGTGAAAGGAAGAAGAGAGAGCATAGAGTGAAAACTTGTATGGCATTTTCTTTTCAAATGTCTTTTTTACTCAATAATCAGTTACATGCAATTCAAGATATACCAACACTACCAGGAAATTGCAACTCAGAAAGTGAAATTTGAAAACTTCACCAAAATAGCTACACACTTCTGTTGTGAATAGCTCCTGTACTGATGGTTCCATTTGCCAAATCTCCACTGCATCATCACAGATAACTTTCATCCCATATGCCAATTTCACTTCATATCCTATTTTTCAAACTATCAGTAATGATATGTATCTTGAAAAAATACAATTACCAACCTAAGGTCTGTTGGTGATCATTTATCTATATTTCATTTTGTTTTGCATTTATTAAAAATGATAGTCCTTTTTATATTGATCTTCTATAACACTCTTCTTTGATGTGTGTATGGGTGCATACTTGCATGTGTCTGTGCATAATAAGGATATGTCATGAAATATTATGTACTGCAGAGGAAAAGCTTGGTTTAGGCCCTAGTTGTCTATATTTTGAGACCACTCTCCAGTAAAAAAATGTGTACTACTAGCAAAAAAGACAAAAGCTATTTACAGAGAAGAATGTGGATGACACATTATTTGTATTGATATGTATTAGAGTGTCCATTTTGACAAACAATTTAGTGAAGTCTTAAAAGCTTAAAACTGAAATCATCATGCTATTTATCATCCAACTAAGCAACGTTCCTGAAAACAAAATTAACTCAAAGATGTACCTCTAGTTTAATTTATTTTTGTTCCACAATAGATTAAAAATGGGGAAAAATTCTAGGTGTCCACCAACTTATGAATGTATAAAGAAAATGTGGTGCATAAAAACCAGCAGTTAAAATGGCCATTCATATCATCAGTTCTCACCAGGGACACGGGTCACTGCTGAAGACAAAAGATTGTTAACAGCACAGTTTGGGGAAAAACAGAACAAAATAATGTCTCCTTGAAACTAAAGTACCCTTAAACTGACAAACTCACAGCAGCAGTGAATGTCCGTAAAAAGTTCTAACTTGAAGAAGGCAATACCTTCTCTACCACTAACTGAGAAATTTTAGTCTGGCTACTCAGGCGATAGAGTCAGTTGTCTTTAAGGATGCATCCTCCTTTTATTCAAATATTATCTAGTGGACATCTCTACATCTGTGAGTATTTGAGGAACAGCTTTAGACTCTACAGAGGAGAAAGACAGATACAGAGGAAGGAAGACCAGAGGGAGAATGGGAAAGAGAAAACAAAATTCGGAGCAAGTAAGGAGTTGGAACAATTCAGGAAGAAGTGAGGATGGATTTTGTAGTAAATATAACATATTTACATTGTATGAAATTTTCAAAGAATTAATTAAAATTGAATTTAAAAATTATCATTCAACCATTAAAAAAAGCAAAATTCTTTCAGTTGTGATAATCTGGGGGGAAGGAAACAAGATCATATCAAATGAAAACAGACTGTCCTTTTCTCTTCCAAATAAAATATCATATGCTCTTGCTACTCATTATCAGTTTGACTAAATCTAGAATAATCCAGAAAATATGTCTCTTGCTAAAATTATAGGGGACTACAATGCCTTGATTACATTAACTGATGCGGGAAGACCTCAATTTAATTGAAATGAAAACTAATGTACCCTACCACCTAGCCTTTGATTAGGGGAATTTCCTGCTGGACGATTCTACATAAGTAGAAATTCTGAAATCTACATCTTATTTTTAAATTAAACAGTTAATCTTAGTTAATTTATAAATTATAGAATTACACTCTTATGAATATGTGCAGTAGGCTTTTGCTAGCACTTGTTCTCCCTAGGTATTACGAATGCTTTAGACATGTCTTTGTTATTTTAATTGCATCTTCATCTAAGCATGTATTTAGATTTCAAACATTGCCTACATATGCTGCACAACATTGGCCATACAAATTAAGATCTTTGTGACTCTGTTTGTTCATCTTTAATATAAACATGGGAAGATTTGGTATTATCCCTAGTAATAACTAGATTATTTTTAAGAATAAATTAGCAAAGGCATGTATCAGGCATAAATGGACACTTAGAATGTGGGAATGATCAGAACCACCTTTTCTATTGGTGAATTATCAGCATAATCATTGTTTAAATCCTGAATGTTGAGTTTATCACTGTATTTAAGAAAACTGGGATTTGGGTAAGAAGGATATGCTAAGAATTTTCCAGAAACATGTGGATAAGGATCTAACTCCAGTTATTCATTATTTTGCAGCATACATGCATCTCAGAAAGAAAGGGAAGGGACTGGACAGAGGTATAAATGGAGCAACGGCTGTATCAGTGAGCTGAAAAAGCCTCGTATGGTTTATGGTTCTTAGAGGTTTATTATTGTATAAAGCAGATAATAAAACTTGTCAAAATTCAAACTTGAACTGTAGGGTAATAGTGTTCAAAAGTGGCTTACTTACTTACACAAACTCTCTCCAACAGTGTCTGGAGAGAAGACTGTGCAGTAAGGACATGTATTATTCTTTCAGGGGACTAAGTCTCAGATCTCATGTTACATAGCAGTCAGCTCATAGCTACCTATAACTGCAACATCAGGGAATCTAGTGCTTACTTCTGGTCACTAAAGGAAACTATATACACAGTAAGCAAGTAAGTAAGTAAGTAAGTAAGTAAATAATAAATAAATAAGTAAACAAGAGATTCTAAAGGTAATTATATTAAGAATATTTAGCATTATGACCATGGATAGCTGGAGCTACTACCCATCAACAAAGGGACTTGACTTTGCAACAGATGGAGCTAATAACAGAAAACCACAACTAATCAAATTATAGACAACTGATTTATCTACAACCCAGCTTCTGCCCGTAAGTCTCAAGAATCTGAGGCAGAGCAATTATAAGGGTCAGAGACAGGTTGTCTGTGATAAGATTATATCTCCTAGAAATGTCAGGGAAGCAGCCCATGGTCACCTGTCCAAGGATCATCAATAGTCAGTCAAGACAGTTCCTCAGAGACATGGCTATAGGCTTGCCTGATCTCAATGAAGACTCTCTCAGGTGACAGCAACAATTACAGATGGGGATAAGGAAACCATCTTTGTTCCTGTAGTGGGAAAAAGGACAGGGAACAAAGGCAGTATAGGGGAATCATTTTCCACAGCCTTGAGGAACTCACTTACTGTGTATTCAGTTTAACCTACCAGCTTATAGAGCAGTTGCTAGAGACTTTAGTTTTCTTCTGTGACAGGTAACTCTCACTGTTTTCTGGTTCTCAGTGGGGAGCAAATGAACAAGACAGAATTAGAAAGAATAACAATTTGCATATGAATAAATTTGGGGAGAGGCTGGTGAAAGGTCAAGTACTGACCTTGATCTCTCTTAGAACCTCTTTTTATCATATTAATTGCTTATCCTCTCTCTGTCTTTTTCTGTCTTTCCTTGTATTTGTGTGGACTCCATTGAGATTTGTTATATTTTTACCTTGCATTTACAGCTTTTATTTAATTGCTATTGTTAACTCCCACCTTATTTTGAAGAATTAGCATCTGCTGCACAACAAATATGATCTTTATTTTTTTCTGGTTCATTTATCTCGCTGCCACCTACCCAAATTAAACCTAGTTCATTATTGTCCCTTGTCTTCTTCTGATCAATAATGCTTCCATTGATCTCCTTCTCTCTCTGAATTTACAGGATATTGTATGCAAGCTGCAAAAGTATATAGATGCTGACTGCCTAGAGTTCTTTGTTTCCACAGTTTGTTAAATCACTTCTCAAGTCAATTATAAACAGCTTGAAGGTAGAAGCTGTGTCTAGTACAGTGTTTGTTAACATGACTGGCTTAGGGTAAACATTAAATATGTGGCATTTAATTATTACAGCTTAAAAATTATTTAATTTTATTATAAGCAAGGGTTCATATTTTTTATCAGTGTAGATGAACAGGGGAGCTGACTTACTCTGCAAAGTGATTGTCATGCAAGCTTAAAGAACTGAGATCCAATTCCTAACACTCATGTTAACGGTCAGGTGTGGCTGACTATGTGTTAGCTCAGGACTGAGGGGCATTGATGAGAGAAATCCCGGAGTTTAATAACTAGCAAGCTGAAGTATTAATATTTGTGCTAGTTATAACTGATGATATTAATAGAAATAATAATAATACAAATAATGAATAATTTGGGAACAATTATTGAAGTCACAAAGCATTAACCCTAACTTATTTGTGCGTATACACACACTCACCTAAATACAGACATGAACAGTGAAACATATACAGACCCATGCACCACACACATATCCAGCACACGCTCACACACACACAAAACCAAAAAAATTTTATTAACATCAACAATGCCATTGTAATCCTTTGTTCTTTTTACTTAACATATTTGGATTTAAAAAAAAAACCCACAGAATTTCGTGGTTTAAATTCCAGCCACAAAACTAGAGCAGAATCTGGACATGTGAGCTCATGACTCTAGTCTTAACATCTGGGATGCTGAGGGAAAAACAAAACAAAACAAAACAAAACAAAACAAAACAAAACAAAACAAAACAAAACAAAACAAAGCAACAGAAAGACAATAAAAACCAAGGACCCCTCAAGCTGAATAGCAAGTTTGAAGCTGTCAGGAACCCATCTCCAGAGCAAAAATCAACAATGTCAACAGCCTGGAATAGTAAAGCATCTTCCTTGTGCTCATAATTAGCGCTTAGGAAAGCAGCCTTCAAACTGTGCTAATGAGAGCAGGGCATTGGATTCTGTCTCCTTAGGGTCAGCTTCCTTTCTAGACAGAATGTTACAGATGGAGAAACCATAGGCTTCTTAGCTTCCAAGAAAGAGTGCATTTGTAAAGAGGACTAATTTAAAGTCCTATAGATTGTTTCAGAATATTAAAAACTGTTCATTTGAGGGTATAAAATGTTAAGCACATACATCATACTGTTTGTTCACACAGAATCAACTTGTTTTCATAAGTTTATTGTAAGAATGCTAATAATTTCGGTGGAGGCTTTTGCACTATTGACAGTTTTTCTATTCCCAAGCAACAAGCTTGACTATTAGTCTTTCATTGTCACTGGGGAAGAATGAAGCATTCCCCAACATTTTGCCAGTCATTACTTATGCTAACTCTGCCTTACTCTTTACTGAGTTCTGTAAATAATCTGCTCCCAGAGGCCTGGCCTTTCATTTCTCTCTTGCCCTTTCTAAGTCTGCTTCCATCTGACTTTCTTGCCACCTTATGTTTTATCATTTCTTTTTACGTCTTATTATTTTGTGCCCACTTCAGCATAGTTCTGAATTCAAAGACACAATTGTTCTCACAGTTCCAATTAATTGGCTTACCTACCCTTTAGGTGACCTATTCTCCAATCTCTTGTGCTAATTAACCACCCCCTCTCCCAACCCTAACTTCTCAACATACATTGCTGCAGAGGGGAGCATAATGAAAAAGATCACATATATAGCTCTTAGTAAATGAATATATCCATTCAACTATCAGTCTCCATGTCTCATAACGCAGGGCGTGACTGTTTAAGGGAAGAGGTAAGCAGTACGCTGCTTAGGATACATTACTGAATTTCCTGAGAGATCAACTTGGAGGAAACAGTTATTTTCACAAAGTAAACTTGTTTTACTGTAGTGATAACTATGATGGAGTAAACAGATTGCAAAGCATACTGAACAAGGAGCCTGGGAGATAGAATCATAAAGGCCTAAGATTTAACTAACTGACCTAAATGTTAATTAGAACTCACTAGATCTGAAACAGGTGAGGCCCTGGACATTTGCATTCATGAGATTGCTGCCTTGGATATGTAGCATTCATAGTTTGTACGTGGTTTGGAAAACACTCTAACTAGCAATGGTTCTTTCTGTAGCTGCATGTTCTTAGCAAATGGCCCACCATATGGAAATAGCTTAGTGATATTTGTTAATTTAATGAGATAAATAAGGAGTAAAGATACTTTGATAATTCTTCAAGGAGAAGAAGTGCTGTGTGTGAAAATCATGGTTTACCAAAATATCTATCTGGAAATAAACTTAAACTTGCAATATTATAAAAGCAATCAGAGATATGAACTAGAATGCATATATTTACATTTATTTATTAATTTATTGGGTACTGTGTAAGCCATCCATGGTATAGATAGATAGATAGGTAGATAGATAGATAGATAGATAGATAGATAGATAGATAGACAGATGGATAGATGAAAGGACAACCTGCACAAGTCTGTTCTGTCCTTCTACTTACTAAGAAGGTATCAGAGATGAAACAGATTATCAGGTGTGATGGCAATCAAGGACTGACAAGATTCCTCAGTAATGAAAGAGCCATTATTTTATTTAAAATACATGAATATATTATTAAATTATATCAGTATTTAAATTAGGACCCAATTATTTTTTGTGCCCAAAGAACTCTGGATTCTGAAATTTTCTCATAATTAAAGGTAGTATGACGCATATACAAAGACAAAGCTAAAACATTAGAATCAATATGACTCTAATTGTTAGCACCTTGCGGATACTAAAAAAAGCATGGCAAATCAACTGAAACAAAGATAGCTAAAGAGAATGAAGTCAAGTTTCATGCAGTGTTACAGAATGATAGTCAATCCACGCATTCTGAGAATACATGGCGCCTTGCCAGTATGACTGTGCATATATCAAGTGACTAATTTCTATGAGAAATTACATGGTTTAGTGGTATGCATAGAACTCCATAATGCAACCAGGAAGTAAAAGTGTATGTAGCTTGGCATTGTAAAGTTTGCGATAGTACACATGATAGTGAGCAGTAAAGGATCCAGGCCTGGTGACACACGCTTGTCCAACTAGTATTTGGGGGAAGTGAGAGGAGGATCAGAAGTTCAAGGATATGAGGCTACATGTTTGAAGCTTGCCTGGGTAACATGAAGAAAAGAAACATAAATAATTCTATTGTATTTCCTTGATTACATAGAAAACTTCCTATGGAACAATATTCTGTGAGATTGAAATTTTATGAATGCAAGAAGTTAAAGATGATGAATTTGGAACTTTTTGCAACTGAGCAAGAGATCTTTCATTCTGCTGTTGTGTCTTTTCTCACGAAGCATAACTGGCAGCATCTTTTATTGGTATATTTTCAACATCAAAAGATGTTTGTGTGAAATTAATGTATCTTTTAATCATTCTTTTTCCCATTTAAAATTTGTTCTGCCTGATTCATTATCTTTGTTAATTATGAAAATAAAAGAAAGAGGTCAAATGATTCTGTTTGTACAAAAGCAGCCTGGTTATTAACACAGTACTTTACAGGATGCTAAACTTCGTGTGTTATCTTGACTTTTCTTTATTGTAGTGATATAGTGGGTAATTTTAGCCGTGTTTTTTTCTGCCTTATCACAGGAGAGAAAACATTTTAACTCTGTTTTTCTCTTTTAACTGTGCCACAACCAGCGCCTTAGGAAAACAGTGATGCAGAGGCTTCCTGCCCTGATGGGACAGGTATTCTGCTCTGTGGCTGTCACTGATTCATGCGTGACATACTCTGAACCTCACTTAGAACTGGGAGGTAGTTGATTTATGGCTTAAAACGAAATGTGTTCTGAAGTTCTGATTCAATATACTGCTGTAGTGTATTTCAACCAATGGCATTTTGACAAGGCTGCTTGTCTGTTAGAGGAAAGACTAAAAATACACATTTTATTTTCATTTTGAACCTCAACAAAGAAAGTAATTTGTAGCCATGCCTTAGGCAGTTTCAGGAGAATGAAAGAGTCCCATGGGCTTGTTGGAGAACTGGCCAAGGAAATTTGGAATAAATGAAAGTAAACTCTGAGAAAACCATGCTTTAAAATAGTAATTCTTGAGATTACAATAAAATTACATCATTTTTTCATTTCCTTTTCTTTCTCCCAAACTTCCTATGTACCCCTCCTCTTTGCTCTCTTAAAATCCATGAGCTTTTTTTTGAATTTGTGTGTATTTACACATGTATGGTTTTTTCTAAAGATATAAATATATCGAGCAGAGTCTATATAATGTTGCACATATGTGTGTATATGTTTTTAGGACAAATTAATGGTGCCTCAACTCTAGACAAAGAATTACAGGCAACTGAGGATTTCTTAGAGTTAGAGAAAAAGTAATCCCTTAAAGAAGGGTATACCAATTGGTTAATCACATTGAGTTTTTTAAAATAGAGAAATAGAGTTGTGTCTCATTCCACTGAGAGCGACAGGAAAATTTGCTGTGATTAGGTAGCTAGGGATGCAGAGCAAGGAGGAAAAGAAAGGAAGCACTCAAGACATGAGGTGAGGTGGAGATATTGTAGTCCTTTGGAGGTTCATATGAATATTGGTGGAATTTTAATGAATTATAACTGCAATTAACTTGTGGAAAAGTTAATTTCAGTTGTCAACTTGAAAAGATCTAGAAGGACCTATTAGATAGGATCTGAGCATGCCTGTGAGTAATTATCTTGGTTATGTTAACTGAAATGGAAAGACAAGCCCACTGTGTGTGGCACCATTCTCTGGACTAGAATGCTAACCTACATAAAAGAAAAAACCGAGCTGTAAGGGTAATACTCATAGTTCCCTGCTTCTTAATTTTAGGATATAGAATGATTATTACTGTCATCTTAAATTCCCTGCAGTGATAGACTCTAATTTTAACCTGTAAGCTAAAATAAACCCTTCTCTTATAAATTATTTTGTCACAGGATTTTGTCTTGGCAATAACAACAAAAGAAAAGAAAAGAAAATAAACACCAAAAATTACTGTACACTTCCCTTATGGTTGTATGTAAAAGGTATATGGCTTGAAGATTTTTGCAGTCCATGAAAGTAATAGTAATGAAAGTTAACCATCAGAATTCTAATTTACAGCTCTAATAATGAGAGCTGTTTTTCATTATATTAAAAATTATGTTTATAAGTATAATCATCTAAGTGTAACTCAAGGTCAAGTATATTTGTACTAATAAATGGGTCTTCCCTTTTTTAAGCTATACTTCTTTGGGACCTGTGACTTAATTAGAATTTTATTGCTTATTTCTGAAATTTACTAACTTTATATTATACCCACTTATGACTCTTAAGACTACCAAAGTATTGGATACATATAAAGAACTGAAACAATACCAATAGGTTGTAGGTAATCAAGTTAATGGACTATTGTAAGTAAATAGTGTATCATTTAAATGTATATTACTTATGCTATATTATTTTAATAGATTTACATTGTTCTATATTTCATTTTCTACTCAATTCTTGAGCACAATCATGGAAAAATATATTACATTGTCTTTCACTAAGAATTTGTTCTAAATTAGTTTTGGCACAGTTTTTATAACATCATGTTGACTGGGATTATTAGAATATCAAAATCTGTTCCACAGCACATGACTCATTAGCAATTTTCAAAGCCATGTGTGCTTTCATGATGGGTTACTGAGAAGTCTTGCCAAACAACCTTACATTAATTAGGAAATCCAATGAATTCTGGAATCTACTTTTTCTACTTATTCATATAATCAATATTTCTATATTTTCTTCAATCATATAACAAAGCTTCTGTTCTTTTCATATTTAAATAACTGAAATGAAGCTGAAGACGGCTCACTTGGTAGTCTTTGCTTTGCAAAGGGTAGGACTGGAGTTGAATGCTCAAAACTATATAAAATGCCAATTCCTGTAGTGTACGTTTGAATTAACAATACAGGAGAAGTGGAGACAAGAAGGGTCCTGGGTCTTGTTGATGATCCAGGCTAGCCTCCATGGTCAACTTCAGTCACTGAGAGACTTTGTGTTAGAATAAGTTGCTTGTAGTTTCTGAACAACCATAATCAGGATTGCCTTTTAGCCTTCATATACTTAACAACATATTCATAAACACTGGTACATACATATATACTTGCAAATGCACAATGGAATAAATAAAATGTGAAAATAAAATTACTGAAACATAACTTTATTTTTTTATTTCTTTCAATGAATTTTGTTCAAATATGTTCCATGATATTTGATGCTTCCGTTTGTCCATGACCTTATTATTTTTTGCCAAAATATATAACAATGATGTATAATAATATAATTATTTGCATATCATCTTCTCATTAATCATGAAACACTTGGATTTCTCTCTCTTAATCTACCTAGTCCCCTATATGTATGTCTTTTTATCTTTGGCCATATGAGAGTGAAAAAATATCTTCCTCCAAGTGTATTTCAAGAAAGACAGAGAAAATTCATGATCTATCCTATTGATTTTTGATGATTAAGTCTGCTTTTACACTCAAGTCTCATAAGATAATCTGTTTTTTATGAATAAGGAATAAAAAGAATAAATGTCTCATTTCTTCCCCAGGACTTATCAGAAGGCCAGATAGAACAACAGATGTTTGAAATGTCTACAGGGTT